TAATTTCCTACATAAATCTAGCCCTCCAAACGTGTTTCTAGTATTATTAGTTCTTTACTTAATGTGCAAGAGGGCTATGTTAAACATTAGTGGAATCAAAGAGGAAACTGGTAGGGAATGATCCAACAATGTAAACCAGGCTTATGTCCTCATTTTTCTGTGTTCTGGAACTCGCTTCCTGACTTGCAACCACATCCTACATGTGAAAAGGCGAACAAACTAAGAAGAGAAAGATATAGGAGATGTCCCACCGGGCTCCTTGAAATCAACATATACATGGGGGTTAGAATCAGAAGGTTTAAGCTGACAGACCACCCAGTACAACCAGAGTTTTGATACGATGATAGACACGTTCGACCCCAAAGCTTAAAATATTATGGAAATAGATTACTGCTATAATTAGCAAAAAGCTCTTTAATGTTGTAGAAATATTAAAAGCAATCAAATATCTAAGGCTCTTTAATAATAGGAGATTCCGAGAAACTTAAATGGGATTGTCTGTTCCTAAGACCATAATATAGTGAGTGTTTTAAGCTCATTAAACTGCTCTGGTTGATTATTTCGTGTGTTTGTAATCCAAGGTAAATTCAAGACAAATAGCTTGTTCTTTTGTCTTCTCTTTTTATTTTTTGCACTAGGCAGTTTAAGAAATCAAGAGAACTTAGCTTGTTCTCCATTTTGCTAACCAGGCAGTAAGCACTGTACACTTTTCTGGATAACACCTGATACCTTTCATTTCTCCAGTACACCTACCGTGCTGATTAAATGATGATTTACAGATGCTTCCTTGGGAGAATATACCAATACTAAGAAATCAGGAGGCTTATCGCATGCCTTGTGTTTGGAGCATCTTTGCAACACTGGAGGAGAACTACCATCAAGATCAAGTTGTGAGTAATACTATGAAACCAGGACGCTTATCGTATGCCCTCTGTCAGGAGGCTTCATTCCCTTTGATTGATCCATTGGATGCATTTTATCTCCTGAACCCAGGTGGTGATCTGGGTACCACACAAATCGAATCTGAGAAGTGGTTTAGAGATCAAAATTTGGAGGTAATATCCTGGTTTCTGATTCTCTTTCCTACTATTACACTGACGTCTCAGTTGTATAATTGGGGAATTCTGAGACATTCCTCACCAGTGTATGAAATTAGATGCACGACAGCACGAGGATGTGGCATATATTATCTGTATACATATATACACAAATCTATATGTTTCCGTAAGTAACCTTTCATTTGAATACCCTGCACAGGGGAAGGCTGGATGTGCACCCCCAGCTGAAGAATTGGCTGAAGCCTTGAAAAGCCACAACCTCTTTTTATATATCGGCCATGGAAGTGGTATGTTTGATTATTCTGGCTTTTTTGTGTTTGGCATAAAAAGTTTTTAAAACATCAAACTGAACATTTGTGTCTGTATGTCTTGTGGTACAGGGGTGAACTACATTCCCATGCATCAGATTCAGAGTCTGGAAAACTACTCTTTTGATGGGATGCAGTAGTGGTTCTCTGACACTGAATGGTTATTATGTTCCACACGGTCCCGCACTATCTTATCTGCTAGCTGGTTCTCCTGTCATTATTGGAAGTTTATGGGAAGTGACAGACAAGGATATTAACCAATTTGCAAAGGCCATGCTGGATGGTTGGCTAGAAGAAAGATCGAGTTCCTCTCAGGGTTGTGCCCAATGCAAAGTAGCAGAAGAAATTGAGGACTTGAGCATTAGGGGTCGTCAAGGTAATGCCAACAAAGTCTGGAGAAAGAAATTGCCTGAAGCTTGTGGAAGTGATCCAACGATGATTTCTTGTGATCAAAGGTCGAAGATTGGATCATTCACGAGTCAGGCTCGTGAAGCTTGCACCCTCCCTTTCTTGATTGGAGCATCACCGGTATGTTATGGTGTTCCTGTTGGTATATAGTCCAGCCCATGATGAATATTCTAGATTATTCTAGTAAGCAAGTGAGGTGGCTGGAGCATGCTAGACAATTCTAGCATGTTATTAAGTTGATGGAAGAAGCTAGAGAGTACTAGCTTCCTTGGTTGCAAATGGAAAGATCTAGAAGCTACAATTTTGTGGCTAGTCTAGAACTCTCTATGCTAGAGGTTTGAAGAATACACTAGAAACTAGTAGAATGCCAAACCCTCACCTATAAATATGGGTGTGATATGTAGTGAAGTAACCAATTAAGAACCAAGTGTGAGTAGCAAATGATCAAGTCCAAAGCTAGAGTTCCACTCCAAGAGTGAGAGTGAGAGTGTTCCACTACACATTGTGAGTGAAGTTTAGAGTGATAGAAATTGTGTGTCATACTTTCTTGTATCCATCAAGCCTTGTCTTCGGCTTGGTAAGACTACTCTTGTTGTACTCATCTTTTTCATATAGTGAAGATTGATCCTTGTTTTGTGGACGTAGGCATAAATTGCCGAATCACATAAATTCTTGGTGTTCATTTTCTACTTTACCTTGAGCATTTTCTATCTTGTAGTACCGACATTCCTAACAGTTCCTACAGGCATACGGAGAAAAGATTCATAGCACCGTCATGTGGAAAATGGCATGCTCTCCAAGTTCATCAATGCCGCGGGCGAGCTTTAAGTTTCAAGTCTCCGATTTTAGCAACCAATTATAGGATGGAAACTTAAGGTGTGTGTTCTAGCAAGAATCAGCAAACATGTCTAGTATACATGTCAATACGCACTAATTTCCATTATTTTTCGTTTCCGCCATTTTTTAGAGCAGAGTTTAGAAATGCAGGTTAATGTGCAGTGTAAATGGAAGATGGAATTTGTACATAATTTTTCGTTCATAGTGCCATTTGCTGTGTTGTTGAACTATTAGAACACTGGGAGAGAAATCAAATGGTTGTTAAACTATTATTATTCATTTAAATGTTTAGATAAATAGCGATGTCATATTGGCTAGTGCAGATGTGTTTCTCCTTATGCACTCGAGTTCATATTCCCCTCTATTTGGGTTAATATTTAAACCTTGAGCTTTCAGAAGGGAAAGCCCAAGAGAGTTCAATAAAGGAGGTTTTGCCCGAAGCCCATAAACAAGCCCAGTTCATTCATTTCAAGATATTATGGTAGCTCTTCATTAATGCAAATGTCAGTTGCTTACAAGAAGTGACAACCGATGGAAGATCACCAACTCTCGGCCCAAAAGTACTTTTTGGATGGCAAACATGTAAAAAGGCTAGTGACTCACTACCTCTCAGTTGCTTTCGGGCAAGAATAGAAACGACACAGTTGGGCTAATTCACCTATAAAAGGAGGAAGAGGGCCCAGAGATAAGGACACTCAAATCAACAAACAAACAAACATACAACTTGACTCTCAGCCAAGCAAATGCCTAGAAAGCCGTGCTTTGTCCAGACTTTGCACCCTTTTAGCCTTAGACTTCCTTAGAAAGACATATTTTGTCTATGTAAAAGCTCTGCTACCTTTTTCCTTGAATGTTGTAGTATCGATTTCTCATGTGTAAACTCCTTTCCAGTCATCTCTTTTAGTACTCAATCCTTTTGTAAACTACCAAGGGAAAGGACCGTAAGACGTTTTAACCTTACCCGACAAGGTGAAATCTTGCCCGACTCTCTTTGTTTTTGCCTTTCCATTAATAGATCTGGCATTATAATGTATCCCTCAATAAATATGCAAGCCATTTTCGATCTCTTAATGATTCGAAGTTCCATTAACTCTCAAATCTGGTTCACTTAGTACCTTTACTATCGTGAAAGTAAAAGAAACTGATGTTTTGATTAGATCTGAACCTCCACCCTTTGAAGCATACAAGATAAACAAAAATCCTTGATCTCAAGGCGTAAAAAAGAACTTAATGTGGACTTAACTCATCCACGACAATCCTTTGATATGAGAAGTTAGAGTAACTTGGGGCGCAAGTAATCGGCTTAAATATACTCATTCTACATTTGCCATATAGAGATGGCAGTGGCACGCCTCAACACTTAGTTAGTTTTGATTGTGACCCTCACGGCCTACACCTAAGGCCCGACAAAGCACATTTCAGAACTAACTATGTCATCTTCTTGCAGCCCGACAAGCAAGCGAGAGCCCAACAGCCAATCAAAGTGTCAACTCCTCAGGGAGCTGTGTGCTCAAGCCAGGGACCCTTCCCAGTAAAATTCCTGCCCGAACACCCTCTCTACACTTTGATTAGTTTAATGCTATTATAGGAAAAATAAACGTTTTTTAAATTGATTCATGAGTGTTTTTCTTTTCTTTTTTTTTTTAAAGACTTGATTTTACTGTATTTTAAAAATGTGTTTCTAAGTTTTAAAATGATGAATTATGTACTTTTAAGTTAAAAATAATTAATGAATATTTTGATATTTTAAGCACAAAACTTAAGACCAAACTTTAGTAAAATTGCAGTTGTATCTTAAAATTGGTTGACGGCATTTTTTAAGAAAATATTTTTGGAACCAAACTTTAGTAAAATTGCAATTGTATCTTAAAGGGCACTTGAAGTGCTTCCTAGATGAAACATATAACTGATATTTCTTGCAGAAAACACTTTCAATGCTTCTGAAATCCAAAAAATTTCTCTAAAAACGATTTTGGTCATTTTAAAAGTATTTTCAAACCAACTCTTATTGCAGTGATTAAGATTTAGAAATGTTTCTACAAAAAAAAGATTTACAAATGTTGGAAACCAACCGAGCAAAGTGAAATTTCAAATCCTGCCAGTCAAAACAAATTCAGGCACATTGACCAAAATTGATTGTTGATACAAGTGTGAGGATCCTACGGGATCCTCTTTGCGAGGATAAAAATCAGTTCATCGATCGTCCTGCATCAAAAATCATTTTGAATTTTTTATTTAAAATTAAATACAAACAGTATCTAATAAAAACTAACCGCATAATGTACAATAAATGACTAAGATGAATTGATTCTTAACATGCTATCAAAGAGAATCCAGAGATCCTCATCCCACATACATGAAGAAAGCTATATTCATACACGGAAGAAGGTAAAAAGTAAGAAGTAAAATTAGATTTTGAAAATATATTACACAACAGAACAAAGGGAAAAGGAACAACTTCATCTCCATTTTCCTTTTTTACAGCTATTCAATTTCAATGAGACTTAATCCAATGCAAATCCGAGAAAGTTAAAATCATAACTTCTGTTTTTGTGCATCACTACTAAATTTGTGTGCCTAAACAAGTGTTCCTAACTTCCTTATCTTTCATCGCTGTTTCCTTCTCTACGCATACGTCTCCTCCCAGAACGTCCCAACAACACCCTGCCATGACGACGAAGGCGGCTCGCCAATGACATACCACCGCCGTCATCATCACCATCACTATCATTCTCTTGATCTTGATCAGAGGAATCCAAACCGCCAACAGGAGTTGTGTGCCGGATGCCAGCAGCACTATTGTCCAATGAGTGGTGGAAGGCCCCCTCAGGCGGTCTTAGACGTCTTGTCAGGTCAGTCCTTGATGGCCCAAATGCATGTAATAGGAAAAAGAAGTTCACCAGATTGCCATCGAATCCCAGCCCGAACCCCCCATTTCTTTCTGGAGCATCTGCATTAAAGCCACCATCCTCTTCGTCCGTATCCAAACCATAATTATTTCTTTCTATTACATAATCTCCAAAAACCATTGCACCTGGCATAGAAGACTGGATTGTGCTCATCAGATCGTTCGTCTCACGCTCATGTTCAAGACTTCTCCATTTCTGTTCAAGGTCTGGATCCACTTCTCGTGGGCGTGCAGAGGGGTGCTCTTCCTTCACATGCCTTTTAAGCTCCTTGTAATTTCCGACAAATGAACAATTTTCTTGCATGCAGCTTCTCCTTTTTGTATTTAGATAATCTCGTGCTGGTTCAAGAACAGTCCAGCCCTTCACCTGGCCCCTACAGAGGGGGCATGCAAGTTCTGTGACTTCACACTTTTGTACTGGCCATCCAGCATCTGGTACCACAATTGGATCGTTGTTGGAGCCAAGTAATGGTTGTCCAAGATCAGATGGCACAATTTTAGTATAAGCTTTCTTGTACTGGCCAAGACAATTGGAATGTCGGAAACTAGTTCCACACATGTAGGGACGGCAACCTTTGTCGTGAGAAGAACAAAGGAGAAGAACAGCATTGTGAGGATACTCCATGCACACGGAACATGTTGCATCCTCCCAGTCTTTTTTTTCCAAATCTCTGCATTTCTTCGAGCACAGATCCTCCAATATATCTTGACTGTTCCGCAATGGGTATGGAGTCAGTCTGTATCGTCGGGAAGCAATCCTGCGTCGTCCCCGGCTACCTTTTGCCATTTCTAATATCTACCTGCAAATCACATTGCAAAAGTTATACCAGAACCATGACAGTCCAGATATACATACATGGAACTTTAAAATTATTCAGCTACAAATACACACACATATACAACACAGGACAAAAACCAGGAACTTCCACACCAACATTAATAGAATAAAGTTCACCCTATTACTGCAGATGCCAATCCTGTGCTTCAATTGTCAAAGTCTCAAAGAAAAACAATATATCAGAACTTTAAATTCAAAAAGAATCCATAGTACGCATTTCAATCACCAATTTTTAGATCAGGTTATCTCATAAACACACCATACAAGTGGTCAAAAAGTACACACGGAAGCATCTTAACAGAATTTTTAAAGGATTCTTACAGTAAGGACTACATCGATGTGTGAGTCAATACATAAAGGACCAAACTGATGAGTTGGTAAAACATAAAGGATTGTTTGTGATAAAAACCCGTTTTCCTAAATACACTAGCAAATTTATTGTAGCAATTGAATTCTAAACTAGTAGAGGTCGCACTTGGTGCGATGGCAAGTGCCTTCGCCCATGAGCGGTAGGTCTCGGGTTCGAGACTTGGGAGCAGCCTCTTCATAAATGGGGTAAGGCTAGCCGACATTCACCTCTCCCAGACCTTGCGTAAAGCGGGAGCCTTGTGCACTGGGTACGACCTTAAATTGAATTCTAAACTAGGACGATAAGCCTTGAATTTTAAATCAACTATCAAACCCTATGAAGAAAGAACAAAGAACCCCCGAGATCCACTCTCTGATCAGTGATAACCAAGAAAAAATACACAATTGCATAGACACTAGTATGAAATTGAATCTTGAATGATTGAACTACTAAAGTAAATAGATATCACCAAAAACTATGTGATTAGTGAAGATTAAAAACTTGGGCAAAGCCAGAAACAGCTTGAGTCTTGATTCGAAGCATTCGAGCCAATTATACCCAGAAACACACGCATTTCATTCCAGCTAAAGATATAATCTTTCGCAATTGAAACTGACAACCAGAAAGCCTCACCTGAGCCGCGGTCAGAGCAATTCCGGATCCAAAATAAGTCAGTTGCGTACAATGGCAAGAGAAACAGAAACAGGTCAGAGATTTATACACAGACCAACGTGTTTAAGAAGTTAATAAATTAATCAAATAACAACCCAAAGCTTGAAGCAAAGCACATGGCAGCTGACCCTTCATCCATTTGAGAGAGATCCACAAAAATATTAATTAATATTCAAATTTAACTAAATTAAGAATCTTATGTAAAAATCCAAAGAAAAAAGTGAAAATCTCCAATTTTGCTCAGAAATGAAAGTCGAAAACTTGTGGTTGCTCAATTTTGCACGCAAAGGATAACCCAGCTTTCAAAATTCCAATTTTCCAATTTTTTTATTTGAAAAGAAAACAAAAATGAAAAACAGAAGGAAGAGAGAATAACTACATAACTGAATGATTTTCCATGATTTTTCAAACATTTCCCGGCAACCAAACAGACGCTCAAGCTCAAGAATGAAGGAAGAACAAAACCATCTGATAAGAGAGAAACTGAAAAAGCTTAGCAATCGCACCAGAAATATATATGTACTATTCGAGTGTTGAAACTTCAGAGACGTTAAAACGGGTCGGAGTCGGAGCAATTTGGATATGGATTTTGGATTTGGGAGAGAAGAAGGGAATTAGGGTTTCAGAGGAGGCGAAGCTAATAAGCGATTGAGGGATAGGCGGGAGAGGGCGGGAGGCAGCGAAATGAAAAGCAAATAATCACAAAAGCTGTTCGTAGTCTCGAGGTTTATTTAATTTTCTAGAGAGAGAAAGGAGGAGAGAGAAAGCTCCAAGCTTTTCGTCAATTTCGAGTTATTTCTACGCTACTCTATCTCTCTCCTTCCTTCCTCATTTTCTCTCTCCTCTGATTTGTGATTGGAGACGTGGGCCAGCTGCTTTGATTTGGAATCCACGCGCTGCTGGGGCGGCTGGCGAGCACGCTCAGTTTCACTGGTTTAAAGCAGTCACGTTGTCACGCACCGTCGTGCTATGTGGTAAATGTCGGAATCAAATCATCTTCGAATCTTTTTCATTAAGATCATCGAATCAAATTATTCAAATTTTTTAAATTTTATCAAACGACTCACTTGTTTTGATCACTTAAAAGTTATAATATTTTTTTATCGTTGAAATTTTTGTGATTCGGGTTTAGGTTCGGGTTAAGTTTGATTTGGATTCATTCGAGGCAAATAATAAGTTTAGTTGAGTTCGAGTTTACATTCGAGTTGGATTGAAATCGTCCAACTTGTTTGAGATTAACCCTGTAACAACTTAGTTTGCTAGAATTCTTAAAAATTTAAGCCAAATAGGATCAAAACTAGTCAACTTAAATTTTATAAATAAATCAAACTTTGTCCAACTTTTTTGAGTTCAAATATATAACAACTTAGTTGAAGTTTTTTTTTAGAGAAACGATAGCGTTAGTAAGTTAAATGTTAACTTAGCCACCAACGGGGTTGGAACTCATGCCGTCATGCAAAGGCACAACACATTTCCATCACTGTTGTAAAGAGCCACTTGCAACTTAATTTGAAGTTAACTAGCTTTGATTCTATTTTGTTTTTTCTTTTGTACTAAAATAAAAAAAGTTAAATAGCATCAAAGCTAGTTAACTTCAATTTTTATAAATTAGTCAAAACTTATATTCAACTCCACAAATTAATCTTCGTTTTAAAATTAAACTAAATACAAATATTCAATGATGCAAAATTTGAATTAAAATACAAGAAAATACTAAGAAGGTACCAAAAGAAGAAAAGAAATCAACATTTCATTGTCCAAATGTAAACAAGCGCCGAACTGGAGTCTTGTGGTCCGAAATTCAATGTGTATTTCTATTAAATATTAAATAAGGAAAATAATTAATTGTATATTATATATTCACAACAATCGCTATAAGCCTTTAAAATAAAATAAACCCCAATACCAAAAGCTTCAGCAATATTAGCTACACCTTTAATTAAAAATTGTACCAAGTTTTATTCCATTACAAGAATTCTTGGCCACAGATTTGGAGTGGACGGCTTAGATCACATGGTGGATATACCAGTAAAACCAATTGGAGGCCACACGATCTGGAGTGGACGGCTTAGATCACATGGTCCGGAGAGCGAGACCATTTCTCTTTTTGAATACAGAATCTTTCGCTAGTTCCTACCACTACTCGGAGGAGCGGGAGACGCAGTCCGAAATTTGAAAGAGAAGAGAGGGAAAGAAAGATGAGAGGCAGAAGCCGCGGCCGAGCAAGGGAGTCGTTCAACCCACGGCCACCACCAGCGACGCCGCTGGGCCACTTCCGCCTCCAACGAGACTCCGATGCCAGCTTCGCAAGCAGCCGCCCTTCCTCGGTGGGCATGGGTCCCACCACCGCAGCCCTCGACCTGTACAAAGACCGCTCTTTCCAGCAGTCCACCGTCTCCGCCATCAATTCCTACCTTTCCTCCCACTCCCTCCAATTCTCCCTCAAATTCCCGATCCCCTCCGCCCGGGAAATCACCGAAACCCTGAAATTCCTCCTCGCCCGCCTCGACTACCCTTCGCCCAAGCTCGAGGACGACCTCCCCCTCCTCCTCAAGTTCCTGAAATGCCCCTTCAAGCCCAACAAGTCCTTGCTCCGAAACCCCACCGTCAACGCCCACCAGTGGCCCACTCTGCTCGCCGTCATCCACTGGGTCTTCCAGGTTGTGCTCTACACCGACCATCTCGCCGCCGATTCCCGGGCCTTCGTCGAGAACAATGCCATGTCCGAGTACGCCCTGGAGAGCTACTTGCATTATATACATGGCAATGACGACGCGGTGGAGGCCTTGGACCGGGATTTCTTGGACAAGTTGGACAGGGAGAAGGAGAATGCGGAGGAAAATGTCAGGGTTTTGGAGGCAACTGCCACGGAGCTGCAGGGGAGGGTGGAAACAATGCGGTCGGAGCCGTCCAGGAGGGAAGCGCTGGAGAAGGAGAGGGGTTTGTTGGAGGGGGATGTGGTCAAGTTTAATGAAATCATAGGGAATCTGGAGAAAAGTATCGCGAATTTGGAGGCGGTGTTGGAGGGGAGAGAGAAGGAATTGGAGGCCAAAGTGGTGGATAATAAGAGGATTTGCCAAGAGAATGCGGAGTTGAATAAGAGGGTGGAGTTGCAGACCTTCAATGCCAGGGATGTGGATAGAATGAAGAGGGAGTTGCAGGCTGTGGAGAGGGATATTGGGGAAGCCGAGCTCGAAAGGAATGCTTGGGAGGAGAAGGCTTGGGAAATTGATAACATGCTTAGCCATAAGTTTAAGGACCTTGAGGCTGTGGCCATGGACTGCAACCAGGCCATGAGGAGGTTTGCCCTCCTTTTCATGTGATCTTCTTTTCTTGCCAATTGATGTCTTAGATATAGAAATGTAATTTCTTTGTGTGATTGTTTCGGGGTGCATATCATTGACATCGATAGTGCATGACAATGATATGTTGATCCAATTTTGCGTGCCAATTAACTCTTTGTCATGGCTAGTGATTTGTTTGACGTTGTTTGCCTACTTGTTTATATTTGTTTGAATTGCTCGCTGTCTTATGACAGTTGACGGTACAAGTTTTGACAAATTTAATAATCTTTGTATGCATTGCAATTTCTCTCTTTCTTTGGTGGTAGCAGGTTGAAACTTGGTAATGGATTTCAGTATTTATTGAATGCTAAGGGATCGACGCCAGCTGAGATTATGGGGATTGACTACAAATCAACTTTAAAGCCTGCGCTTGACGCCTACTCAGAAGACATAAAGAAAAGCTCTGTGGAAAAACTGGAAGAGTTGATTTCCCTTCAGAAACAGTCAAGTGAACTTTCTGCTCAGATTGAGGGCAAACGAAATTTTATAGCAACGCTTCAATCTCATATCAACGAAGTAAGTGGATCAAGATTAAGTCTTAGACATATTACTTTCTTTGTTGTGCATAGGAAGGGAATGAGTTATTTCGTTAATTTAACCTTATGAACTCGATAACTGGTGTATGTCTTACAAAGTACAATATCAACTGTAAAGGTAATTGATCATATGGTGTGACACTTGGAAATCACCCTTACTATTATAGCATCTTAGGGTGCGTTTGTTGCACCGGAATGTCTCGAACTGGACTAGCTTCAAGAACTAAGTTGGACTGACTTAGATTAGACTAAACTGAATTAGCTTAGTGAAGCATTTGGTGCAGTATCGAACTAAGAAACATTATAAAAAATTAAATTTCCTTTTTTTTTTTCCAAAAACAAAGAACTCTATCTGTCTCTCCATTTTCTTTGGTCAAACTATCTCTCGTCCTTTTTCTCCATCTCTTCCATTTTCCTCGTCCAACTCCTTTTTCCTTTTCTTCTCGATCACAAATATACACAGTTCACATGCAAACCAATTTTCCATCAGACCAAACAAAACCCACCACCTGCCTCATCAATCCAACAAAATTCCCAAACTTTCCCACCCTAAAATTTGACAATTCCATTCAAATTAAACAAAAGTTAGAGCTGAAAATTTGAGCAAAGAAAGAAAGAGAGAGAGAGGGGGAGGGAGAGTAAACGGATCACCAATAGTAGGAGGCGGCGACGCCGTATAGCTTGAGGACGAGCAGTAGCGTAAAGGAGAAGAGGAGGATGTGGGCCGCTAAGGCCTGCACGGACTTCAACACTCTCCGCTAGTTCATCATCACCGTAAAATGATGTCGTCCGCTGCGAAAGTCGAGACTTCAGATTGTGAGAAATCTCAGGAGGAGGTTGCTGTTTCAGTATGCGCCATTGAAACTAAAGAGGCAAGAAATATTCTTTCTCTCCTTCATCTTTTTCGTCGTTCGGGTTGACCCAGATGGCAAAAAATCCCAAATCACCGACCCAGATGCCAAAAGGGCGCTGGGTTTGCAAGACGATGGAGATTGGCGACAACCGTTTTTGGTTTGGTCACTGGAGAAGGGGGGTTGATGCTGCTCATGTGGGTTCGTAGGATGCTGCTTGCAGACGAGGGAGACGGGACTAGCAATCCCGTTGTTTTTGGGGGGCCTCGCAAAGACCTCCTAGTGAGGGATTTAGTCGAGGCAAGTCCTCCTTTGTCCTATTTAACTTGGTCCCGCCAGTGAACAAACACGGATTGCACTAACTTTTAACTTAAGCCAGTCCAGTGAGAGCTAAAGAAGGCAAACAAACACCCCCTTAAGGTTTGAACCTTGGGAAAGAAATACAATTTTACAAAGATTTTGTTTTGACTTTATCTTGTACTTGTGTATAATTTACCCGTTAGGTGGAAGCTCAACTGAACTTGTTGAAGAAAGAGACACAGGAATACACTTCCAGATGTGCAGCCGAAGCTAGAAACTTGATGGAAGATGTTGAACGGGAGACTCGTAACTTGGATATTGTGGAAAGAGAAGCAGACGAGATTCTGAAGGTTTGTCTTTAACTTCTTTCTTGAATAATTAACTTCCAAGTTGTTTTTGTTGTTTCTACATTATGGTCATCAAATTGTCATGCCATACGAAAATCCTTAACGAGGATTTTGTTAAGTTTGATATCATAACGAATCTCATTGTTCTTGCAGACCTCCAAACTGAAATTGCAGGATGCAATCAAACAAACTGAAGAAGAAACTCAGACGTGCGCTTATGGACTCATGGCGGTAATTGACTCAGTCTCGAAGTACAAAGAATATGTGCAGTCTAAGATTTTTGAAATGAAGAGAGATGTCTCAGAAACAGCTGTTGCTGCATCAGACACTCACAAAAGTTGCTTGCAATCGCAATTTGGTTTTCTGTCGGATGCAAACCAGCAATCGGAAACAGCACTCCAATAGGCCGTC